TAATTAGAGTGGCGTTTATTCCCGAGTCGGTAGTCAAGGTCGGCCGGTGCTTTGCTGTGATTGGTTGAATCATAGTCGGGAGTCCGAGTCAGTAGTCGAGTCAGAGTCGGGAGTTTGTAGTCTGATACGGGCTTTAAGAGGAGGAATCCGCGCGGGAGGAGGAACGGCGCGGGAGGGCGCGCGGGCTCGTTCGCGGGTGACGAGCGACGACGAGGCGGATTTTGCGCTGCCGCGGCGGAGGAGCGAGGGGGAGAGACGTGGTCTCGCGGCGCGGAGCACAAGTCGAGTCCACGCGATGATGGAGCGCGCACGGGCGCGCGGCGCAGAGGGTGCACGCGTGACACGAGGCGCGACGCGCGCCGCGCGCGCGTGGTAGACGAGCGGGTCTCTCGCGCGGCTCAGGCGGGAGTCGAGCGGCGAGTCGCGTCGGCGCGCCGCGGAAAACGGACGTCGACGTCGCCGCCGCACCGTCGCGCGTCGGCCGAGGCCTCCGTCACTGACGTCGACGCCATCGCCGTCGTCGTACTGTCGTCGACGTCGGCCCGTCCGATCCCCCCCCCCTTCTATCGTCGCACGCGTCGCAAATCGGCTGGTCCGCGCGTCAAATTCGTCCGGCGGCTCGCGTTTTCGTACGCCGAGTATAGTCTCTCCGGCGGGAAAGAGAGGGATCGCCCCTAGGCCCGTCGTCGGAGCTCGATCGCGCGCAGCCGACCGTTCGGTCGACCCTCGGGGACGGGAGTATCGGCGAGAGGAGCGAGAGGGTGTCCCGGAGCCGCGCGTGGTACCTGGGCTCGTCGGCCGCTCCGGTTCTCCGCGTTCAAGATGACATCGCCGAGGCGCGCGTTTCGAGCGCGACAGCGGGAGAGAGAGGCCGACCGGAGGTAGACTGGCGTGAGCGCGGTGCCCGCGCGTTGTGCACTAGGGATCGCGGGAGCTACGGCGGGGAGATACGCGCTCCGCTTCCGTCGCCATCGACAGTGCTGGAGAACGAGGCTGTCCGTCCCCGTCCGGTCGACGAGTTCCGCGCCCGTGCCGCCGCTCCGCACGTGGAGCGGAGCCGCCGTCGGTCGGGCCTCTCGCGGCGGGGAGAGATCGAGATCCCGGACATGGGCACGACGGTCCGTCGAAAGTAAATCGGAAAGACGGGGGGGGTGGGTGGGGGTGGGGGGGAGAAAGAGAGTGGAGCGCGCGCCCTCGAGGCTGCGGGCTCGCAAGAGGGCGGTTCGCGTATCTCGCTTGGATCCCGCTCGCTCGCCTCGGCTCGGCTCGGCCCCCATATGACGCCCCACTTAGGCCGCTAGGGCAGCGCATCCGCCACTGGCCGGTGGCGGTGACGAAAAGGGGCTGATGTCAGTGCGGCCACACGGCGGCGTACGCTCGGATCAGCAGCATCGGCAGCGGCAGCGGCAGCGGCAGCAGCGGCAGCGGCAGCGGCAACAGAAGCAAAAGCAGCGGCAGAGGCGACTACTCGTCGGATGCGCGAACGCGACGTCGCACGCATCGTACCGCGAGCGAGGCGAGCGAGAGCGACGACGACGAGCAGCGGAGCGGCGAGGGCAGCGTCAGTGGCAGCAGCGACGACGACGGTGATGCTCGGCAGCGGCCGCGAGATCGGGGCACTGGCGATCGGTGGCGGTTTGGCGATCCGCGACGACGACGACGACGCATCTGGCGCGCGCGATCGTGGCTGCCGGCGCGTCGGTCGTTCCGTGGCGCAGCTCGTGGAATAATGCGTGTTAGGCGCGACGACGTTACGACGACGAGGCGCCGTACGAGACGACGACGGTACGACGGTGCGACGACTGGGCGGCCAGCGTGCGGCCAGCGACGACGAGTACGACTACTACTACTTCCACTACCACCAGCGGAGCAGCTGCAGCAGCAGCGCAGTTATGTACGCGTACGGTTCCGAGATCACGTAGTGTCGGGCGTGTAATTATGTTGTCATCGTCGCGCGGCGCGCCCTGCGTAGCTTCACGGTGAAAATCTGGCGTGAACGGTTCCGCGGTGGAACGGGGAATATGGCGTCGGTCTCGGCCGAGACTCCAGCCAGCCATGGGCACAGCTTCAGTAAGAAAACGTTTCACAAGCCGACGTACTGCCATAGCTGCACGGACATGCTCTGGGGCCTCATACAGCAGGGGTACATCTGCGAAGGTAAGACGATCGCGAGATGCCGCGCCGCACGGATCGTAGCCGATCGACCGGGCGGGTCGAATTTTTCGATAGATCGCGCGCGCGGCCTTCCCCTCTTATCGCTCCGTATCCCCGGGTGGTATCGCTCGTCGGTTATCGAGAGGCAACGGTGGTGTCTCGCGCCAAGTATAAGCGTAGCGACGACAGCAAGACCGACCCCGCGTATCTTGACGCGAGTACGCGAGTCGAGAGGCCCTTGGATTATCTGATCTCAATAACGGCTGATCCGATCGACTTCCAAGTGGGTACGTGAATGGCGAGAGTGCGAGGCGAGGAGAGGAAGAGGGAGGGAAGGACGAGAAGCTCTCACTCTCTCTCTCCGGATACGTCCACACGGGTCTCCGCGTCTCCCGATCTCGTCCACGCCGGGGGATGCGCGCAGCTTCGCGGGCAGCTTCGCGGGCAGCGAGCGCGAACCCGCCGCGAGTCGATTACTGGCGCGATCCCGGAGAGAGGGAGAGAGGGGCTCCGGGGCTTTCCGCGTCCGTCTTCGCGGGACTCGCCGCGACTCCGTCCGCTCGACTGGTCCCGCGGCCGCTGTCGGCCAAGAGAGAAAGAGAGCGGCCCTCGCGCGAGAGGCTGCTGGGTTCTTTAAAGTTTCAAGCGGCCGCCTTCCCTCGACGCGAGTCGATCGATAGTCGACCGCGCTCGGTAACGGCTCGGTAACTCGCTCCTAGGACTCTCCCGCGAGGCCCGCGGGTCTCGCGGTCCCGACCGACGTGACGCGGTCGGCCGCGATGTGCCGCCGGATAAAACGGCAGGCGTGGGTCCCGTTCAATCGGGTCAGGGTGCTGCGTTCCGAGTGCCCCGTCGAGTCTCGGGCATTTTAGCGTCAGCCGCGCGCGCGAATCAGTGCGATAGCACGAGAGAGAGAGAGAGAGAGAGAGATAAACGGAGCGATCCGTCGGAGAAAAACGAAAGGAGAGGCCAGAAAAAGTGGGAGGGAGGACAAGAGAGAGAGAGAGAGAGAGAAGGAAATCGGGAGGGTGGGGGGTGACGGCGTACGCAGAGGGCGCGAGCGCGAACGCGCGCCCACCTTTTCACGAGCATTGATCGCGAGGGGTGGGGTAGTATGGCTGAAAGACCATGGATAAGGTTGCCGAAGTGGAAGGGGTTGAAAGGGGCGCGCGCGGGCGCTCGGCGGCGGCGGCGGCGGCGGCAAAGAGGGTTGTCTCCAAGTGGGGGCAAGCGTGAGAGCTCGCTGACGGGTAAAGAGGCGTAAAGGACCTTCGTTGTAACGCGAGCGGAACGAGCTCTCGCACTCTTTCGAATATAGGCACGTCGGGACGTTCGATCAGGTGGAGAGAGTCGCGCCTTGGATACAACGGGCCGCCACGCGTCCGCGTTTGGCCCGGCGGATCGCGGAATTGTTCCCGAGTCCACCCTCGGTCGAGGGTAAACGTATCTACGGGGTGTCCCGGAACTAGGGACCCTGTAATCACAGAGACTGGCCACGAGAGTTGGTCGAATTCCCGCGAGTGAAATGGCCTACGTTTCCTTCTCCCTCACTCGCGGGAATTTGACCAACTCTTACGGCCAGCCTCTGATTACGGGGTCTCCACCCGGGACGACCTTGCTCGCGAGGAGGTGGAGCGGATTGGGGAGAACGAAAAAGTCCCGTTTCGCGAGATTCGCAACGATAATCGAGATATTGAATTTTTAATTCGGGCGAGCGACGGCGACGTGGATATTGGCGCTCGAATACGTTTTACATATAAAAAGAGAGACGTTGCAGGCAGTAAAAACGTTCGTTAGGAGCCTACGGTCATTAAACAGGTCGTTAAAGACGCAACGCAAGCCATTAGGGAGCCACTGCAAGGATAGGCGACTTTAAGCCGTTACTTGGATGTGGTTCAAACAAAAAGCCGTCCCGAGTTGTCGCCGTTTCATTTGGAAAAGATCACGCCTATCTCAAATATCTTTGCGACATCGCCGCATTTTTTTTTATTACATCACGCGAACGAAACTTTAGACTCCATTATCAGTCGTTTTAACAAGTTTTTAGGAAGGGAGTGCGAATATGTGTCAACCTTACGTTTCCGTGATGCGAAAATGAGCTTTTTTATTTCTATTGAGTTACAATGTCCTCGAAAGAAACTTGTAGATTATCGAATTCCTTGAAAAAGACCACAACCGCGTACGGTCGAAGCGCCGGAATCAAACAAATAAACCGTCTGCCAGCTTAATGTCGTCTAACAATTCTTTTTACTGTTAATCAACTACTGGCGATTCACGTTCTTTCGTTGTTGTTTTTTTCCTATTTTAATCAGGATCTCGAGGAAATGCGACTTCCGAAAAGGAGCCTCTTGACTCGTGGGAAATTGGAAGAATTTATTAAAGGATAAATAGTCGTTTACCTCGTACAACGCATCGCGTACTCGACGTAAGCTGGCGTATCTTTGGACTGCTATTTTTTTTTTGCATTCAATCGCCCGAACCTTTTTTCGAGACGTATCAGGAAGTCCGGAATTGTTCGGCGTGAGTCAGAACTCTATCAATTATATCGAAATCCTAGAAATGGGATGCTAACTTCACAAAGGGCGAAGATAAAGCGTTATATTTCTAAAGCCATTGTTAAACCTTGCTACACAATGTATTGATCGCTTTACCGTCGGCTGCTTTAAATAAAGTTGTTTTTATGTCTGCAAATTATACTTAGCATTGTCAGTTTAAATTCAATCCGCGATATAAAATCCTAATAGCTGTTTACAAACTCGTTTGAGGCAATTAGATTTTCGCGCTTATTTTTTTGCCCAAGGCCTGCAACTTCTTTTTCGGACGTTAGCCGTGCATTGTTTCACGATACACCTACTTATATCGAATAATCGTAATACACTCGATACACCTTTGGTGAAAAATGCTAGTTCGCTACATTTTACACGACAATGATTAATAACACGTTAACGGTATTCGCGACAAATTGGAGTAACAATTTTCTTGCCTGAAATTGATCGGTCTTTCGGTATTTCACTTGCGCAAAATAAATTGCACAAACACGTGTCGATGCAAAACCGCTTATAAAACTATAAAGTTCAGGTAATAATTATTCATGGCTGCGACGCATCCACATCGTATATTAAAAAAAAAGGTTTTGGTTTTCATATGCAGAATAAGAGATAAAGGTCTCGGCTGACACATCCGTTAGCGTACGCGTCACATATGCATGACATCCCGATTTGCGTAACAAATCATTCGTAGCATTGCACAACGGCAGCGAACGTTAAAACATGTGGCGGCATTAGAAATGAGAATGGCGCGCAACGATAACTTCTTACATGTCGATTCAAAAACAAGCTGTAATGCATGCAGAGTGGGGATAAATCTTCTGTTTGCACCACCTCTCGTGGAGTAACGCGCGGACTAGAGACCCCGTAGTCAGAGACTGGCCATAAGAGTTCGTCAAATTCCTGCGAGCGAGGGAGAAACATAGACTTCTACACTGACCAAACAGTTTTTTTTAACTAAGTAAATAGATTTACTTAAAATTATTTTTTTACTGAAGCAAATATTTATTCCATTTAAATAAAAATATCAAATTTCAAGTAAATCTATGTATTATATTGAGTAAATTAATTTAAATCATTACATTTTTTACATTTAAATAAAAATTTCATGAGATATTATTTATATCTTTCTTGTCTCCCCTTGGGGTTGCGAGGCACTTTTCGAGGAAGTGTTCCCGGATTCCTTTACACCAGTAACTTATCCTGTTTTCGCTTGCGCGAAGGAGTTGTGTGCCCCGTGATTTCATGAGATATAGAATATCATTTATTAAATGAAATAATTGTTTTTGTTAAATAAGAAATCCAATTTTCTTCGATGTGAAAATTACATCTTAGTAAACATTTTATTCACATAAAAGTTTTTTAATTTAAAATTGTCTATTCTTCGATATTTAATAAATGCATATATTAAAGCAATGCATGTTTTAATTTATTCATTTTTAAATTTAAGTTAATAAGCTATTAGGAGCCACCTAATAGCTTATTTTTATAGAATAATTTTCTTGATTAAAGTAATATTTTTTGAATTAAGATATTTTTTTATCAGTGCAGAGGAATAATCCAATTTCTACGATCGTGGAAGAGTGAGATGGCCTATGTTTCTCTCTCACTTGCAAGGAATTTGACGAACTCTTATGGCCAGTCTTTGATCACAGGGTCTCTGCGCGCGACATAACAACGACGACGAAGTAATGCAAATGTAATGCGAAAAGTGGCGTTTATCTTCCTAAATCTCCTAATCTCCACGCAACGATCGCGCGAATACGATCTCACGTGCGATAAGAATTCCTTGGGTATCTCGACTGTGTATTAGTTAATATTCAACTGTTATGTTTGGGTAGCAACCCCAGTAGGAGCGAATTAAATTTTAACTTCAATAATAAGTAATATTGCGTTTCGTGCCGACGGTTTGAAATGCTGCAATTATGTAAACATACGAGATTGTGTAAAATCTTGGAAAGCGAGATTAAAGAGAGGATACGTACCGAGGGGGAAACCGCTGAGGGCATTGCGGTGTACAGATTTGCGGCATTACTGGGCATTTTTGGGCATTAGTTTGAGCATTAGGCCTTGCTGGGGCATTATAAAGATAAACTAAGATAAAATAAGATAATAAGATAAAGTAATGCCCCACTGGGCATTAGTAGGCATTGGTGTACAAGATTTTGGTCAGCGGTTTCCCCCTCGATACGCACTATTGACAATTCAGAAGCATGGATGTCTTTTAACCTAGATAACAGTCATGATTCTTTAAATACGTGATTCTGAAAATAACATATATCGAGTGTACACGCATTCTATCTTGTATGATGAGCTAATAGCAGCAATTTTTACGTAGTTCATGTATTCCTGCCTTCCCTGCAATTTGTGAATTTTCCACAACGTCTTGGCACATAAATGGAGCCCGAAATAACACATTTATTCTATCCACGCAGCTCTGTTAATCAAACGCAAAAG